TTGTTTCAAATAAGAGCATTTTCTCTAAATAAAATTTGATTTTCTCTTAGACCGACTTCATTTTTTGTTGAAAGATAGAAGTACTTATAGTTTCGACAATAAATTATAATACAAAAAATACCAAAATAGGCATCAGTAGGTATAAAAAACTTTTATATGTGACAGCCACTTTCTGATTTCAGCATGTGAATATTTGTTGAATTCCGAAACGTCTTTGCTTTCTGTAATCACTTCAGAAATGTTTTTATGTTATTCATTGGGAACAAATTCAATATACCCTACTCAGCTTGAAATTATTTGATAGATGCCCTTTAGGAATGTAAGAAATAGGTAGAAATATTACCAAACTCACTAGAGATGAAATATGAATTTCCAAAAACGTGAAAACGGTGAATGCTGTTATTTAAATAGCAAATCATATTCCTTCAAGTATGTTTGTATGATCATGAGTTACATTTTTTTAACACTTAACCAGTGTTTTATTGATTTATTTTATCAAGTGGCTGCTGTTTTCATATTTTCACCTTTCTATATATTTGAAATAGTGGCTAAGAATGATGTGCTGATTTCTTCTTTCGTTTCAGAATCCAAGTGATGTTCCTGCAATTGTGGATAAACAAAAGCATAATGCAGAACTTGATAGACGATAGTGATTTTTTAAATGTTATTTACCAGAATGGCATCTAGTTTTAAAAACTTCATTTCTGTAAAATTACTAATAAATTAATTCATTTCCTTGTGTGAGTTGTAATTTTGTTCATAGGCTTCGATTTCATTTTATTTGTTAATTTGCAATTTGTCAAGAATATGTCCCTTTTTTATATATGTTTTCTTATTGAATATTTATTTATGTCATTTGTATCACTGTATGATCTCTCAAAGGTGTGCGATTAGAATATGATATTTAAGCAAAGATTAGCAAAGAAAATTTAGTTCTCTATCACGTTTTGTTTTTATCACATGCTTTTTCAGGATAATATTTATGATTTGCAATTGCTTCAAATAAACCAATCATAATATGTAATGTATTATTTAGTTTCTTTCCTTACCACTTATAGCTGTTCATATTACAGATGAGATACTTTGGATTCAAGTAACTAAATACATCCAAATGAGAGAGACAGCTTATAAACAGAAGCATAAGTTCATCTTTGATAAAGTAAATGAGTTTATTTGATTTATACAAATAGAAGTGTTTCAATGAAAAATTCTTCTTTTCAAAGGAAAACAATTAATTTTTCATACGGAGACATTTAAATAATGTTCCAAGTAAACATATCATTCTTTCAAAACCCAAAACAGTTTTGCTTCGAGATTAATTGTGCCCAGACTAAAGAATGCATACTTACTTCTCTTGAGCTAATGTGATTATTTCTATTGAAATGTATGCACAATCTTGGTGGAATATTTTTTTTTTACTTAAAAGAAGCGTTTATTCAGTCCATTTGAAATATAGATTCATATTCAATTTGAGAGAATATGTTTCTCAGTTTAAAAAAATATTTCTTCATGAATATAGGAGAGCAAGATTTCTTTAAATCGAGATAATGTTCTTCACTTTGAGATTTTTATTTTTACTGTACAGAAGATCATGATTCATGATTCCAAATCTGGTTTCCATTTCGGACACGATACACACACATAAATCATTTCAAATAAAATTCTGCGGAAATCTTGTTGTGAAAGTTCTCTGAATAATTTCAAAAAGCTCTTTTCCAAGCCATGATGAAAAACAGTAAATTTTACTATTCTCTGAAGTCAGATATGTTAGGCTAGGTCCAAAGTTCGGCTCTGCCGAACTCTTAAAACCTGTTTCGGTCCCCAGCGGGGCAGGCACAAAGTATGTGCTCTACTGTTTCATCGTTTTTAAACACAGCACATTGTCATCCGACAGTCCGAATCTCTGTATGATGATTCAAATGAGAGTGACCTGTAAGTAGATCTGTTAGACATCGTAGCTCATCCCTACTATAGTCCAACAACTATTTGGTATCAAGCTTCGAAGGGTAAATAAACGCCTAGGAGTGAGCCAATCCTGGAAGATTGTGCCAGAAGTCCATAAAGTCTTCTTGTCATTCAGGTGTTCAATATTCCTTTGACAAAGCCTAAAGCGATGCTAATGACAGGTTCTGGTCCGATGAAGCTGCTTGCAGCAACCTCCTTTGCAGGGAAATCAGCAGCCTCATTGTGTTTCAGGCCAGTATGGCCAAGGAATCCAGACCAGAGATAATCTGTTAAATCTTTCTATCGAGGAGAGTCGTTTTTGGCAATTTGCTACCAATTTAGATATTGCTCGGTAGGAGCCAAGAGCTTCCAACGCTGCTTGACTGTTCGAGAATATTTTTATATATGCTTCGTGTTCTCTGAATTACCAAAGATAAGGTAGCCAAGGTATCCCGATGGAAAACCAAATATCGACGTCGACCGCTGAACAGAACTCGATCTCTGTCTTTCGCTGCAAGGCAACTAGATGAAGCTGTAGTCACAAAAAGCTTGCATGATGCGTGATACGACACGCCTGAATAAGTTATTGCTATGCTGTCTCCTCTCAAGAAGCTGCTGTTTATGGAATCAACAAAAGACTACTTCCAGGAATACCAAATATGAACGAGGCACCGCAAAGCGGTCCGTTGCAAGCCAAACTTCAAGGCTGGGTTTCACAAAACTCCGCCTTGTTCATCTTTGATATTTATCGAAGTATTGAGATTGAGTATTTTGTGGAATCGACATCCTTCACGAAGTCAGTGATGACGGAAGGATTTTTTTCTCACCACAAGATCCAGAATCATTTTACTTGAGAGTTCATTGATTTGTGATGAAAAATTGTCGATCCTATAGGTGTAATCGACATCCTTCACGAAGTCAGTGATGACAAAAAGATTTTTTTCTCACCACAAGGCCCAGAATACCTAAACTTGAGAGTTCATTGATTTGTAATGAAAAATTAGGTCCTGAAATTGATCCCTAAGAAAGAGCATAGTTGGGAGATTCTTGTGTAATCTTGGTTACGTGAATTATGAATTCAAATTTATGAAAGTGGAAAATCTGTATTCTGATAAGGATGAAATATTTTCTCGACCAAACAACCTACAAGATATTCAAGTGTGACCTTTCATCCAATATATTGAAAAACACCAACAATTCACTGAATATTCTTCAATTCCAACTAAAAACAAGCGACAACTTCGGAAGTCTGAAGCCTTACCACTTAGACTCTACGGCCTTCCTAAGATTCACAGTCCCAACCTTCAATTTCCCTCAACTGTCAATACTATTGGTTATTTTACTTCTTGTGAAATACCTCGAGAACGCACTTCAGTCAATGTAGTAAAAGGAAAATCTTACATCAAGAAAGTAAGTATTTTGTCCTGCAACCGAATGATAGTTACTTTCGATGTCGTTTCTGTCTTTACCATGGTACCAGTCAACGAGTCGTTGGAGCAGATCAAACAAATTTTCTCACGGCTCATTTCAACTATGTTATCCCCATTACATATTTCCAATGAAATTACTGGAGTAAAATAGATGGAGTCGCTATGGGAAATCCTCCAAGCGCTGTAGTTGTGAATTTCTTTATTGAAGTTTTCTAGAAGAAAGCGCTCTGCATCTTTGTATCGAAACCTACCTGTTACGTCCGCCTTGTTGATGACACTTTTGTTATTTGGAGCTGCAATAACGAGCAATAAAACAGTTTCTTCGCCACATCAACTCCATTCATCCTTGCATCTAGTTGAGCATGTGAGAAGAAAACACATCATTTTTTGATGTACTTGTCAGCAGAAACCTGACGAAAAAGTAGGTCACAAACCTACTCAAACTGATCGGTAGGTATCTCAATGAGAACTCAAATCATCATCCAAGGCAGAACGGTGCTATGATGGAGACATTCGTTGATAGTGTCACCTGGATTTGTGAGTTAAATTTTCTTGAAGAAGAACTTCATCATCTAGACCAAGCTCGACAGTTCAATGGTATTACATCACAAGAAATCTAATATGCGCTCTATACAAGAAGAGAAAATACTTTAACTTTGATCACGATACAGCCTCTATTTGTTGGCACAGTCTATTTGCCTTACAAATATAAAGTTACAGACTGCATCGGAAAACTGTTTGAACGTCACATTAAAACCCTCTACTCGGCTAAGAACAAAAGAGAGCCTCTGACATCCGTCAGTGTTTACAGGATTTCCTGTTCCTGTGGGTCAGTTCACAACAGAATCACCAAACTCAGCATCAACACCAGGATACAAGAACAAAAGCGTAGCTTGTATCGAATGCCACCGAAGAAATCCACAATCACAGAACATGTCTTAGCAGAAACAGACCGCGTATTGAACTACGATAAAACTGATGTCCTGTCTAATTCAACGCATTATCACGCACGACTTCATAGAAGAGCCATTGAGATCTATAAGCATCCCAACAATTTCAACAGAACCAGAAATAGACTGGAATACAACTTCAATTGATATCCCGTCAGTAGCATACCTGTCAATGTAGACCAATTAAACAACCAAGTAACATTAACCAATCAAGAGTGAGGAATCACACGTTAAAAGCTAAGATCTCGTTAGTCCTCAGCTCGCACAAGTTTCTCAACTTCTGAGAGTTGTCGTTCGTATGGGGGCGACAGCTAATTAACGGAAAAACAGATTTTAAACAGACAGATTTGCATGGTCGTTTCGCCATCGCCTCCATAAGCGTTCTCACCGTCGGTCTGCCACCGTCCCCACCATCACTCCCACCACTCTCTGAAATTGTTTATAAATATGAGTGAACAATTATATATAACTTCCGACCTGGCAGTCGACACACTGATGATGTCTGCCGCAGTAGCAGATGATACGTAACATTTGACCGTTCAGGTTCTATTCGACCTCAACCCACCAGCTCGTATCCTGTTCTCTTCGATCTGAAATTTACTTCGTCATGAAAAATTATTGAGATTTCTCCCAGTAACTGAAAGTTTTCTCTTAACTGTTATTTTTATTTCTCCAGGTATTCGCTGTACTACTTCGAAATTGAAGCGGGTACGCTGAGAAGATTTTCCCACGCTCCCATGGAACAACATCGCTGGGCTTCACAGATATTTCCTCATGAAAGCTACGACAAATCGAAGCTGAGGCACGATATAGCCCTCATGAAGCTGTCTTCTCCGGTGAGGTTCAATAGATATGTGAGACCTATCTGTTTACCATCTGAAGCTACTGCTGGTCGCGACTTCGTGAACGGTCCAGCAGTAGGGACGATCTGCACCACGGTTGGGTGGGGAGCTACATTTGAACATGGATCGGACCGTAAGAATTGATTTTTTGATGGCAATACTCGTATAAACTTTTTTTAGACGCCACAACGGCTCTTTTGATATATTTATTAAAAACGATTAAATTCATCATTTATAAACAACAGAAAGGCTCAATAGGTAGAATTTGGAACACCTGGCTTAAAATGAATCTATCGGAAACACTGTTCCTAAACCAGTATGTACTTATAGATGCGCGTTTTGCTTACCAATTCAGGAACATCATCAGGAGATTAAATCACATGCCTATGTTGATATTTTTATATGCATCTAGACCACTCATAACCTCAAAATTGGAAGTCACTAAATTAATTCATATTATATATCATATCATCAGAAATCCTTGATTTGTTAATGAAAATAAAATGTGTCTTTTTAATTAGAACCGGGAATAAGAAAAGATCAAAAATACACTTTTGCAATGAACGATGATGAAGCCAAGTTCAGGTGTAGGACAATATGTACATAATGGAATTATATGTGCTAGTTTTTTCATAGTTCTCCATTTGATATATCCTATTTTATTGAAAATACCCTTTATTAGAGATATCTCTCAAGAGAGATATCCAATTTGAGTTATCTTTGACAGTATCAATTTCATTTTATTGCGGAAACATTTTTACAAACTTTTTTTTTTTATTGAGACTATCCAAACTTGAAATCAGTGAGACACTCTCAAGATAGTGACACCCCTGTATTCAAGTCATTTTTGAAAGAAGAGATTTGATTTTTGGTAAAGGCATAAACCTTCATGGGCCGCACTTTTTCCAATAATTAGCGCGAGTGATATCTTTAAACCCAGCCTACTGCGTTCCTGCGAAAAGAGCAAATTCTCGATATTTTGTTTTGCGTTGATAATATTGAAATAAGAATGAAAAATCCAATATTCATTTTGAAAAAAATTAAATTTCGACAATTAACTACTAAAAAGCCACAGAGACATCGGTCAAAATCAAATAACAATTAATGAAGCGAATTCAACACGAGAAATCAAATAAACATTTGCTGAAATAATAATTTAGTTATTGCAATACATTCATTTCATTGATTTTGATTATTTCATCATTCCTGTAGCTTCTCAGTCAGAACCAATAATTGAAAATTAGATTGGATTTTAAGAAAATTACAAAAAAATCAAATTCCGAATTTTGGGTTCGATTTCTAAGAAACTTTTCAATATACCTTATTTTGATATCTCCAACGAGAAGCAAAATATCGAGTATTTGCCCCGCGGAAAGTGTAGTATATGAAGGTCTACGCCTGTACCAATAATCAAATCTCTGACGAGTCATCCTGATTTCATTCAGGTTTGGAGACCAGCTCCCCTACCCTTTTGGCTGATCATTGGCCTTGAGATGGACCAATGGGTACATAATCAAATCTCTGTTTTTAAAAATGACTGAAATACATATATTCATCTTAAGTGCATCACACTGTATAAACATCTCATCATTTTGGTAATGGCATTGATTGAATTTGAAGATACTGATTCTCCAAATTGATTATTTTGTCGATAACTTTTACCCAAAACTCTAAAAGCAGATTATCTTCATTAAATACATACTTTGCTTTCTTGAACAATGTCTGATTTTTCCCAGCCGGCAACAGTATTTTTTGCATACTATTGTATATTTTTTTTCTTCGGATTTGAAATGCCAGATTTTTTGTTTGGAAAAATATAATTCACAATATTTGGAAGAATCGTCTTTAAATGTTACAAAAGTTCTGTTTTTTCAAAGGGCAATTTTGAAAGAACCAGACACTTATCATTGAATTATATATTATAATTCTGCGGATCATTTGTTTTTGTTTTCTGAAAATGATTACATTCTTGATTACATATGTCCAATTTCTGCAGCAATTCATACGAGCAAGTTTCAAGTTTGCTTTTCATTCTGTAGATTTTCTATTGATTTAGCTTAGTTTTTTCTCAGATTATGGGAGGATATAATAATAACAATGATATTTATTTACCAAAAAATCAATACACACACTTTCAATTCATTATTGAAGAATGCAAGTAAACAAACACGGAAACATCCACAAAGGCTAACCTGCGCGTGGATCACTAAGGTTATTATACAATGAATTCTAAAATAAGTAACTAGTTATCTGTAAATAGTGAAATATAGTAAATTTATAAGATATTGGATAAAATATCGCAAAGCAATTAAATAAATAAATAAAATATGTAAAATAATTTCACGCTAGTAAAAAAACACAAACACAAAATATTAAAATACTAATGAGGAAAAAATGAAGAAAATCGATAATACTAATTGAAACAGATTCACATATATAATTGATATGCTGAATGGAATTTACAATTTTACAAATGATACACAAGTAGATATGATTTTAGAATATAAATCCAATGAACGAAAACCCCAAAAAATTTAATGAAGCTACACTTCTCGATTTGACCTCCACAAACTTCATTTGAAAAATATATCATAACATGTTTCGCTAGCACAGTAGCTTTTTCAAGTGATAGAATACTTCAAGTTGTTCTTACATTAATATTTATATACTACAGGTAACCATAACTGAGACTACCTCCAAAAAAATAACCTAAACCTCTACCTGAAGGTACCTGTTCAATCATGATCACCTGAAGCATATTACCTCACATCTACATCAATAATAATTCTTTCTCGGTTTTTAATAAAACAAGTTAATGGTTATCTATTCAAATATAGTTGGCCATTCATTAGAATGCTTGAATTTTTAAGTTTATTTATTTCCATTACTTCCAAATGATTCAGTTTCAAACCTTTATTTTCTATGTGCAAAATTTCGAACTCTTCGTTAAAAATATGATTTTCTTCTGGAAGATGATTTGAATATGTTGAATCTGTTTTCTCATTCACGTATCCCATATGATGTTCGTGGATTCGATTCCTTAATGTTTTGCCAATTTGACCAATATATACCTTAGGGCACGTTCCACACTATGATTTATTTACTCCTGATTTCTCAAATCTGGATGTCTAGTCTTTATTATTTTTAACTAACTTTCTCAACGTATTTACTTGTTCTATATGCAATTTTAATATCTCGTTTCCTCAAAAATGAAGCCACTTTTTCCGTTGGTTGTCCAAAATACGTTAAAGCTCTATAATTTTGATCATCTACCTTATCAAAAGGAAAAATGTCTTGAATCGCTTTTGCGTAAACTTTCCTGGCAAGTATTTTGTTTATCAATCCGCCTTAAACCCATTGTTAACCGCAATTTGCTTAATATCATCTTAATATCATCAAGAAAATTGCGGCATCCAAAACATCCAAATTTGAGAAATCAGGAGTATACAGGGTGTTCCTTAAACACATGCTAATATTTAAGGAGGTAATTCTTAGACCCATTTTAAGAAAAAAACTTCTCATGGACGTATGTCCTAAACGCCTTAACTTTTAAGATACAGGGTGGCAAAGTTTTCAAAAATAATCAGTTTTTTAATAATAACTGAGATAATTTTGTAGACATCTTTGGCATATTTGGTACATATGTTCCATGCCTCAAGGCGCATTTTCTGATGTACACAAATTTGTATTTTTTCAAACAGTGGCATCCCTACGGGTTTCGCATTGAATATTTTTGGGGAAAAAGTACTACGCCAATGCTTTCTTTTCAAAATAAAATCATTTTTAAAATCCTCATTTATTTTTGAGAAAATNTGTTTGAAAAAATACAAATTTGTGTACATCAGAAAATGCGCCTTGAGGCATGGAACATATGTACCAAATATGCCAAAGATGTCTACAAAATTATCTCAGTTATTATTAAAAAACTGATCATTTTTGAAAACTTCGCCACTCTGTATCTCAAAAGTTAAGGCGTTTAGGACATACGTCCATAGGAAGTTTTTTCCTTAAAATGGGTCTAAGAATTACCTCCTTGAATATTAGCATGTGATTAAAAGGAACACCCTGTATAAATTAAAGTGCGGATAGTGCCCTAAGGTATACATTGGTCAAACTGGCAGAACATTTAGGAATCGAATCATTTTCTATAAGAAAATCATATCTTTAACGAAGAGTTCAAAATTTTGCACATAGAAAATAAAGGCTTGAAACTGAATCATTTGGAAGCAATGGAAATTAATAAACTTAACAATTCAAACATTCTAATGAATGACCAACTAGATTTGAATAGATCACCATTATTGAACTTGTTTTTTTTAAAACCGAGAAAGAATTATTACTGATGTAGATATGAGGTAATATGCTTCAGGTGATCATAATTGAACAGGTACCTTCAGGTAGAGGTTTAGGTAATTTTTTGGAGGTAGTCTCAATTGCGGTTACTTGTAGTACACGCTACTGTGCTAGCGAAACATATTGTGATATTTTTTCAAATAAAGTTTGTGGAGATCAAATCGTGAAGTGTAGTTTTTGAAATTATTATGGATCTTCATCAAGTAACGGCCGAATCAATCAGAAAATTTAATGAAGCGTTGTTATGGAGTCAAAAAAAGCACGAGCACGAGTTTCATACCTCCATTTACCTTCAATGTACCTTTCAAGTTATATGACACCTCATTTTCCCAGTCGACCCTGATTTTCTCTTTATTTAGCCGACCACATGAGAGAAGTCGAAGTTCCGATCCTGAAGCATTGCACGCGTCCCGAAGACATCACCGACGATGAGTTATGCGCCGGCCTGTCAGAGGGCGGTAAAGACGCGTGCCAGGGCGACAGCGGCGGCCCGCTGATGTGCCGAAACCCCAACAATCCGAGCCAGTGGTATCTAGCGGGGCTCGTCAGCCATGGAGAGGGTTGCGCCAGACCGAACGAGCCAGGAGTTTACACTAAAGTGGCGAGATATGTCGGATGGATTGCGGAAAATATGGGTGGGTACTTATATTGTCATTCTTCTCAACAGAAAATGTAAAATCCATATGCAAGTCCCGCAAAGTATTCCAGAAGAATTCTTCTTCATTTCTTCAGAAAATTGTGAATAGTAAAATACGTTGATGTGATAGGAACTGAAATTTTTTCAAAACTTGATAGTGAATAGAAGGTTAAGCCTGAACCCGAAGTTTCGACGCATTGGGAAGTGCGAACCAACAACAATAATCAATGGCTACTTCACCTGATTGTGGGGTAGACTATCATTGGGTCTGGAATCTTGTGCCAAGAGAAGACGTAGCGATCCAGTTGTCTGGATGAAATTCCTACCATTTTAAGGTATGCCGGTGAGCACAGCACCATTCAACCAAAAACTCCTACAATCAGAAGAACCATTTGTGAAAGAGAGGTCTAGATACAGTCAAAGGAAATCGAAGATCAAACCTTGCTATTTCATTCACTTTTCATTTTCTTGGACAATATTCACTTCATTTGAAGCAAAAACTCCATTACGAATATCGTCTTACTCTGCTGGCCAAGAACGATTACGTGGAGGTTATTCACTAGTATCACCCTGGAGGTGGGAAATAAATAGTTTCAATGGAATCGGCAATGGATTCCATACCCCACGGAGCAATATGCAACATAGGGTCTCACCAATATCGTAGGAGACTAATATAACACGTTGCATCGGTGGTAAACATGCCAGCAGCGGTATGTCCAACATATGCGAAAATATGCATCATACCCCGATCTCATAAAATTGATCTATTTGCCGAAAAGTTTGCACAGTTTTTTCAGTGCTTTGCATTATTTAGGAATATGAGACTGAAACTGAATGGGATCATTTTTGTTTGTCCTGTTTTCTGTTGCTGTTGAAAAATGTAACAAAAAATATTCCACATTTTGTTCACCAAAATTCATTTTATGTGGTTTGATTATTTCTTCATTTGAATGTTACGTATTTTCTGGTCCAGGTTTTTTAAAAGTGTTCATGTAATATAACACACGATACCACTAATTTATCATCATCCGGCAGTTTTGACTGAATCCAGAATAATAACGGTTCCCATCTTTATCGAATTGTAGCCTACTCATTTTTATATTTTTTTTTAGTTATATAAACAATTTTGTGATACAATTCATGAGATATTCAGCTTGAATGTTATATAAAACGGTATATCCTCTCGTTTATAGTTCTGCTACTCTGGAATTCAAAGTTCTTGAACATCTTCCAGTTTCATCTGATCCAACGGCAGAGTAGTTTTGACTTTTAAATAGAGGATTTTTCCACTGATAAAATGAGTGTCACATTTCGAATATTCATGTGGATAAAAATCCACTGAAGAAACCTACTTAGCAATGCAACTGAACCCCCATTCCAAATTCCAATACATGATTTGGTAAAAGCTTTCTTGAAAAATGTTTTTACTTTACCCGCATTATGTGAGTCACAACCCTCTTTGTGGAACCAGAATTGACTATTCCCTTATGAAATAGAGTCTGAAACTCTTCTTGCAGCCCAGTTGCTCAGTATCCGTTTGGCAAAGCCTAAAGCTATACCAGAAACAGATTCCGGTCCGCTTTCATCACCCTCCGATGTCACGATAACTCCAGACAAGGGACACGGGATAACCAGGAGGTTCCAGGGCCGCTTTTATTGACCTATGAGATAGGATTCTGCCAATTTCCTCACACATAAATCAATAGCGTATATTTTGAATTGGAATGCGGTAACTGAGCAGAACATGAATGTATTTTTGATCCATCTTCAGTCAACGGTTCCCCCTCAAGGGGGTTCCAATCCTCTCTACTCGGGAATCGAACTGAATGAGATCCAGCCTTCCTCTCCAAGAAGATGTGGAGAGAAGGTGACTCTAAAAGAATTTCCATGGTCGCTGACGGTGTGATACTGAAAGCCCAAGCTTGTCTCTAATCACCAGAGTCGTTTGCAGTAAATCTTCCGATCACCAAGCAATTGCTCGGTACGTGATCTTTGATCTGACAACTATCCAATAGATTTGTTCATTTCCAAACACTAACAGTCCAAATAGTCAGTAATGTAAAGTTACTTTTAGTGATATTTGATTCCTAACCAATGATCGTATATGTTTGAAAGATGTTTTTTAGTGAAGTTTGAACTTTCATTATCTAAAATGGCGATAACCAGTTCGGAGTCTATGGAAGAAAAAATGAAATGAAGCTGAACTGAATATCAAAATTAATGAAAATATTCAAAGTAATCGGACCGATAGTGAAGGTACGCATACGGTAGTCGCTGAATATTATAACTGAAGGAACCGATGAAGAAAGGCTGAACATAAGCCCAACGAAATCAGCCATAGTATCATTCACTAAGAGGACTAAAACAAAGGATCTAGGACTTCAAAAAATTTGAAGTGAAAAGTGAATCTATGTTGGCCTAGAACCAACACCTAGAAAGAGTCAAAAGATAGGTGGAGATAGAACTGATCCTGGCCAGATGCACCTACGGAAAGGCATGGGGATTCAAACCAGACATATATATTGGCTCTACACCTATGAAAATATATGCATCTATGATCTGCTGGCCATGGATGGAACAAAAGACCGCTATTAATAAACTGAGTAGTGTGTGAAGACTTGCATGTTTGTGAATACCGGGAGCAATAAAGACCACTCCTGTAACTACATTTGAGACACTGTTGAATTTTCCTTCTTTACATCTACTAATAATGAGAGAAGCAAAGGTGGGCCAATTCAAACTGAAAAACTCACCAAGTTACATGGGATCGCGCTAAATAGAAATGTTAGAGTATGTAGAGGAGCGAACATCAAACGTGTTCTCGAACCACATAATACCAAAATACATGTTTGATACAAACTTCGCGTTTTGAATTATAAACTGCGAAGAGTGGAGAATACATAGTCATTCTGAGGAAATGCTCGACAGAAACACCTGATATATAGACGAGTCGAATACCTTACATGGATAGGGAGCTGGAAATTGCTGTGTAGAGAGAAATATTCATTTCAGTTACCCACTCCAGGCTGAAGGGTATGAAGGGTCTTGCAATGTCCAACAAATGAGGCCTCAACGAAATGAGCGGATCAAATTTTTGAATGAAAGCCTAGCTGCACTTGAAGCACTGAAGAACCAAAAAACTGACATCAGGACTGGTTCGAGAATTCCATGAAGAACTGAGAAAACTGGAGGAGTATATGGACTTCATACCGGGTGCCAGGATACTCAGGCATCGCTGATAACTAAAAAGTTAATGAGTGTGCCAGACACGGATCATCAACTCCATATATAGATCCCGAATCTGCTGTGGGGGTGCTGAAATGTTTGGTATAGAATTAGATTGGTAAATGAGTCTATGAGAAACATGAACAGAACTGGGAAAAGACACCTGAAAAAATACACGGGAAACCTTTGAGAAGAGAATCGAAAAACTGCTTCTACAAAGCAGATATCGACTCAGAAACAATCACAGGGCTACTTACTGGACGTTGCCCATTGAAGACACCTGTATAAAATAGGAATGTACATGGAGACCATAACTGCGGATAATTCAATAAAGGGACAGACAGGGATCGTCACATTCCATGCGAATATGAGGCATGGATGACGCAGACAATTTATGAACAACCGAAATTATGTCCAGAAGAATATGGCATATGTCCAGCACGGGACCTGTACAAACTAGTACACGGCACAAGATTGTTGAAATGGAAGTGGCCTATAAATGAAGTGCCTGATGCAGACTTTTCAAACTGTCTTACTAGAAAGGGGTTTTTCCTAATTGTTGGAAGATTGCTCGCATTCAGCCTATTCACAAAAACAGCAAGAACATTCTTCCAAATATCTATAGACCAGTCGCTTTGCTCTCAGTGATATCGAGAATCAAAGAGAAAGCCGTCAATCATCATATCCTCAAATATTTAAATTGATATTTATGAGACTTTTGACTGTGTTTGGCATGAGGGTTTGCTGGCTAAACTTTGATGCTATAGCTTTCGTCAAATCATTTTTTGTGTATGGCTCAGCTTCCTGAAATATCATTTCCTGCAAGTTATTGTCGATGGATATCTCTCGAATACATTCACCATCAACGCTGGTGTACCACAGGGACTCATAATGTCTCCAATCGTCTTTTTCTTGTATATCGACGACTTATTGGAAGAAACCAAGAATCCAATATACTGCTTTGCTGCCGACAGCACACTTGTCTCGTTATTACATTTGTATTCCAGGACATCGGCTGCGGATGCACATCTTCACCAAGTGGTGATTTCGAATTGGGGTGGAAGTAACCAGGTTCAATTCAATGTCACGACAACCCAGGCACTAGTTTTCTCCAAAAAGATAAATGTCCCCGAACCGGATATAATAATGTCAGGACATTATTATGCTTTGTTAGGGGTTGAAATAGACGCCAATATGTCTTGGCAATATCATGTTGCTGGAATTGCAAAGGCTGCTTCTCAAAAACTTGAAACACTGTTCCGAACCAGAAAACTGTAAAAACTTCAGCAACTTTTGATAATTTTCAAAGCTCAAATCAGACCTTTTTTGGAGTATTATTCACATGTATGGAGCTCCGCTTATAGTGCCTTAGGTTTGTGTTGTGTCTTTTAAAAAGTGGTGACTTTACAAGTTATTCTTCCAATTTCTTTTTGTTCCATTCGCTGTTTCCTCAGTATTATGTGCTTTGCGAGGAATCCTTTTTCAGACATCATCCTTGCACTGATACGATATTTTGTTGGTTTCTGTGAATATTTATCTCTATTTTCTATCATTCTCTTGCATTGGATATATCAAAGACAACTGAATGACAACAATAATTTGTTTTATTACTTTTCCTAAATTTATTCTAATTTTTTAGTTTCCATAATCATAGATATATTTCTTCATTCTTGAACGACATATATTTGAATTCCCTTGACTTTTTCCAGGTGACTTCAAACCTCATTTGGTAATTCCACTTCAACACTGCCCAGGATATACCTGCAAATTCACAAATAGATGTTTACCGAAGAAGCGCCATTGTGACAAAATAGTGGATTGTTTGTTTGGAGACGATGAAACCAATTGTAAACACACCTTCCAAAATATTTTCAAGCATGCTAGAGGAAAAACTCATCACACGACATTAATTGCAAAGAAAACTAATGGTCAACAGCCCGGATTGGTTTCACCAGAAGATACTCCAATCCTTGGAATGGACCTCAAATCTGAAGAAAATAATTCACAGGAACATACTACATCCGAACCACAAAATTCAACGAGTTTGTGGGAAGTTCCTGAAAAGAAACAAATTGATGTTACCAATGAAGGAACTGAAGAGAAAAATGTTTCGAAGGACGATAAGCAGGCTTCGAAAAAACGAATTGGGTCTTTGACGAATCGTTTACATTCTGATATTAAAAAAGGAAGTGCTGCTGCTAAAAAACTGTTTGGTTTCTGGAACAAACGTATCGATCAACAAAAATCAACCATTGATCCGATCCCATCCATAACATCAAAATATGAGCCCATAACTGAAAATTTGAATCACACAACTGAAACAGTTGAATTATTTGGTCATACTACGATACGAGTAGAATTAGATAAAGTTAATTCAACAACTGAAAAAGTTGATTCCACAACTGAGAAAATTGTTTTCACAATCAAAAACGTTGCCTCAACTGAAAAAATTGAATTTACAACTGAAAAACCTGTATCAACAAGTGGAAAAGTGGATTCCATAACTGAGAAATTCGATATTACAACTGAATGGATTACTACTACTACTGTACAAACGAATACGCCCAATGTGAAAGAGTTTGACAATAACCAGGATATCAAAAATTCAAAGTTTCCTGTGGAAAAATACTCCAGATGTGAGAAGTGAGTAATATATTTGTACCTCTGAAATAAAAAAAAATCAAAAGTTTAAATTCAAACAACTTTGAATTGTAAGTGTTAAGGCGGATTTCCACCAAACGGACAAAACAGTAACTGTGTTGATTTCGAAAGAACAAAAACTCAAGTTTTCAAAATAAGAAACATTTTGAAGACTGTGTCGCCAGTGACTGTTTTTGTCAATAACGAAATGTTCCGTCGGCAGACGGAAAGATCAAAAGGTTTCGGTGTTTTGTCTGTGTTTCTGTAAACAGAGTTCGCTTTGTGGAAACTATTTAGATATAACATATTTGTAATGTGTATTCTGTTTGAAAATGTTTGGTACCAGAAAAATCCGGAAAAACCTTCTGGTTTATCCGGGTTTTCCTGCAGCTGAAAAAGCAAATGCGCCACTAGAATCAATGAAGTCGCCCCGGAGCGCCAATTAATTTTTGTTGTTGTTTAATAATTTCATCATATGTATTTTGGAAGATCATTATATATTCATTTTTATTCTCAAATTCTGATTTTTTACCTCTCTTCAGCTTACTTCTATCGTTGAGCGATATTTGGTCAATTTTTTCTACGAATTCAAATTGAACCAAAGCGTTACCGAAACAGGCCGAAAAATGAACAAGTATTTAGCCAACCAAAAAGATTATTTTTTGGGTCAGGTTGTCACGTGTGATAAAAAATGGATCCCCTACGACAAAAGGCGACGTTCAGGATAGTGTTTGGACACCGATGAGTCAGCCAGGTACTTCCCAAAGACAAAAACTCACCACAAAAAAGACCATGAATACTATATGGTGGTCAGCGGCTAGCATTATTCACTATAACTTTCTTCAACCCGGCCAAACCATCATGACAATGGTTGGACACTGATGAGCCACCCAGGTACTTCCCAAAGACAAAAAGCCTCCAAAAAAGACCATGATTACTATATGATGGTCAGCGGCTAGCATGATTCACTATAACTTTCTTCAACCCGGCCAAACCATCATGACAGTGGTTGGACACTGATGAGCCACTTACTGACAAAACTTTCAAAACAACCAATATAAATAAAATCCATGACTGAGTCAGTATTATTCGATCCTTTTTTTTTAGCCGCTTCCTGTGCTATTCCCTAGTACCGTCGTTAGACATTGCTTCAGGGATAACTGGCATTTGGCTTGGAGGGGAAACCTGCATAGCGCCGCGGGAAGTTTTTCCGCGACTCCACGACAGTCCGGGGACTCCCAGGCCAGAGTGTGCAATTCCTGTATACCCCGGTAAAACCCCTCCTTCTTTCGCCCCTGTCAACTGATTTTTGTCTAACATAGTTGGTCTATTATGTTTTTTATGGTTTTATAAGTTAATCTCCATCCTGTTTCGCCTGAGATCAGTGACGCCATCATGTTTGTTTCGTCAAAGGTAGTTTCAGTATTTCTCTGATATTCCAGTCGATTTTCTTTCCATCTGGTGCATGAGAAAAGAGTATGTTTTACATCGTCCACGTTTCTACAGTATGGGCACTTGTCTGAATCTTTTTTCCGCCGTTCGAATAGATATTTCCTAAAACATCCAGGCCCTGAGAGAGCCTGTGTCAGGAAATAGTCTGTTTCGCCATATCTTCTGTTCAACCACACCCGATATCCGGAATAAGGTGGTTTGTCCAGCGTCCGTATACTGCATTTCCCCAGTTGGTTTGCCATCACGTCAACAGCTTTTCTCTGGCGAACTCTTTCGATGTACCATTGTAGGTCTTCGGTCTTTCTCTTACTAGCAATTCTATCAGGGGAAACCCTGTTATAACAGTAACACCATCTTTGGATATCGTCCGGTAGGTTAACATGTTCCACAAAAGTAAGTTTTGTGTCTACCCATATTCCTGAATACTTTACAGCCCTACTCATTGTTATCGACACGTTTACGACATCAAAGTAGATGAGGGATATTTTCCTTTTGGTTGTCAGTAGCACGGCCTCAGTTTTTTGAGGGGTTATTTCCAGCAGGTTCTCCAGCATCCAATTTGTTACTCTTCGTATTTCTGTGTTTGCTATGTTCATCATTATGTTTTCGTTTTTTGCCGTAATTACCAGAGCTAGATCGTCAGCAAATCCCATAAGTGTGGTTCCTTCTGGCAGTTCAATCCGTAGGAGATCGTCATACAGGACGTTTCACAGGATTGGGCCCAATACTGATCCCTGCGAAACCCCGCTATTTATTTGCACCTCACGCGTTTTACCTCCTGCTTCTAGTATAATTTTTTTTCTGACAAATATGACGCAATGAGATTGACTAGTTTGTTGTCTATTTTCCTTCTGATCAATGCCTCTAGGATAAGTTGCCATGATGCGTTATTGAATGTATTCTTAACATCTATTGTTACCATCACACAAAGTCGTCTGTGCACGTATGCATAATTTGAAGCTTCTCTGACAATTGTGTGGTCTTCTACGATTGCGTCCACCGTCTGTCGACCTTTTCTGAATCCCAAATGCATGTTTGAAAGTCCTCCCATTCTTTGCAGTTTTTCATTTAAACGAGTGAGTATGAGGTGTCCGTAAAGTTTACCTTCTACGTCAAGATGTCATATAGGTCTGAATGATGGGTCTTCTAGAGGTTTCTCTCCTTTTCGCAGCAGGACTGATCTTTGTTTGAAGGTGATTGACAATGTTTTATGATGAATTTCACTAGTTCGGACTTCCAGCATCAAGCTAAAAATGGCCAACTCCCGCCAAAACGGGCATCTCCCACGGAACCAGTGAAGCGGAAAATGGAAAGCGGGGATAAGTGAAAGTACTCGAACGACCTATAAATAGTCATCTCTCGGAGGAATCAGTCCAGTCATCACCCGAAGACGATTGTAGATAGTAACAATCGAAACGTCGTGAACTAACGTGACTTGGAATCTCTACACTTTTTTTTTATTTTCTTTTTTAATTTCTTCATTTTTATTTATTCAATTGTTCTATTTTCACTTGTATTTTATTTCACTATTATTTCATTTCAGGTTTATTTTGGTTAATATAATTCTTATTTTCAGCTATTCATTTTCAATTCTTCTTTTTTAGTTGTTTCAGGGATTTCAAATCATCTTATATAGTAGACAATGGAAGTCAGAACTAGTGAAATTCAGGACTAATCTTGCACGTTTCCATGTATTTGGAAAGCATTTTCTGGCTGCCAACCTATTATATACTGCTAGGACATAGTCGGATCTCACTTTGCTTACATGTTTTATAATTTGAGGCAAAATTTCTCCAGGTCCTGGGGCTTTATTGCTTTTGAGTTTGTCACATGCTTCGCGCAGTTATTTCGTTGTGAATTCCAGATCTGCATCGATTGTATCGAGACTTTTGAAATTGACTTCTTTGTGGCTGGGAAGGAAGTCACTTATTCATGACTATTTTGTATCCGTTTCCCCAGATGTCACCATCAACTTCATCACATAGAGTTCTCCAACAATTTCTTTTGGTCTTTTTTATAGCAATTTTTAGTTTTTTTTTGCTAGTTTGTATTCTTCCCATACTACGTTTCCTTGTGTCCTGTCTCTTCTACCATTTCTGGTGTATGCTCTTCTTTTCGTCATGCACATCTTTCGTAGATTTGCAATTTCTCCCGACCACCAATACACTGATTGTTTACATTTTATGGGTTTCTTTCTTGGCATTGTTTTGTCTGATATTTCCTGGAGAACTTGAGAGAATCCTTGGACAGTTGTGGTGCTTTCGCCGTGCGTAATTTCTTCCAGTATTCGAGCAAATTCATCCTGGTCTAGTTTTTTTTCCTGCCAGCCTGTACTACCCAATTCCCTATTATATCTGCCTTTTTCTTCTGATATTTCGAATACGATGTAGTTATGATCACTCAGAGATTCCGATCTGCGAAAGCAATATTGAACTGAATACAATTAATTCAATGACTCTAAATCATCCATCAACTCATCACTCATAAGCTATAATTACAATTATTCATGTCATATTTTCTACAGCATTTGAATATAGGAAAGAGCCTGTTTTCCTGAATATTTTTCAGAATCACTAATCAATGTTTCAGGATGCTCCAGCTCATACCAACCACCAGAAGATGCAACAAACAAGTCGATTGTGAAGACGGAACAGACGAAGCTAACTGTTCCTGTGCCGACTTTGTGAGGAACAGTAATCCGACGGCCATTTGCGACGGCATAACGGATTGCTTCGATTTATCCGACGAACTGAATTGCGGTAAGTCGTCGGTCCTTTTCCTTTTGATATATTTCCAGAGATTTTCCCGATGTGTTCAGTTAGTTCGGAACGAGCTCCTGAAGGCACATTTATTTATGGGTTTTTTCATTGGTAGAGGTGGAGTTGTTCAGAGAAAAATCGAAAATGGCAGAAAAATTTAGGTTTTGATTTCATTTCCAAAACTTTGATTTGTTTATAAAAAAGGCTCGTAAACGGTTTTCAATGAAACACAATGACGAAGCTAATGACGTGATCAGAATATCTTTGTATCAGGAAAAAATTTGCGGATTGATATTTGTGGGTCGCTGGTGAACGAGGTGAATGACAATTGCGAAATTGGCAAACGTCACACACATGCTCAATCCCTAAAGAAATGGGATGGAATCAAAGTATGCAATCTTGCCAGGATCACCTTGGGCGACCCTGGGAAGCTGGCGCCGAAGAAATAACTGGCGATGACCAGGAAAAATCTACGCTCAATAGTAGGATTTCTGACGGGCCACTGTCAACTAAGGAAACACCTCCATAATATGAGGATAGTGGACACACCTCTGTTCAGGATGTGTGAACAGGAAGATGAAACTGTCAGGCATGTCCTATACGAACGTCCAGAGTTATCATCACTAAGAGAGTGTGTGTCCACTTTCCTGAAAGGACAGGGTGGCCGATGACCTAGGAGGTCATCGGCCACCCTGTATGAGGAGGTCAAGTTTCCTCATAATTTTCCAATAACCATCTCGTGTTTGATTATCAGTAGATTACGCTGTATCATAAAACAGGTGTTGCCAATATTTTTCAACCCATTCAGCCCAAGGGTTTTGACTGAAGAATTTGTTACTAAACATTTCAGATTTTTGCTAAGAGGAAGTATTTCTTCCATTTGCTTTTGTTTTAATTCCATAATGTTGTTTGTTATTACTTTTCTTTATGAAGATGATTTGGGAAACATTTAAATTTTATAAAGTTTTTTTAAAATCAGGAAGAGTACCAACAAACAAAGGCGCATTTTCTCTTTGGATGATTATACTGATTTTTTCAATGAGAAAAGATGTGACTCCTGATTCGTGGATTTCATTAGTTACCTTATTTCCAATTTCATTGATGAAAGAAAATATTTCAGAACCAAAACCATCAATAGTTTCAAAAGCTATTGGACGAAAGATATAATCATTTTCCTAATTCTGATATTTCCGTAGTTTGGAACTTTCTTCTAAGAAGGCAGCAGCACCGGCTTTTGCAGAAATAGCAGAAAGATGGCAAGTTGCTAATATATCCACACAAATAACAGATTTACCGTTTTTCCATGGAACAAGTGTCATACCATCCGGCCGTTTTCTGTCGTCTCGACTTGTACCTATGGGTTCTAAAATCGCAGGAATTTTTGCTGAAGTTAAAACCCTTTTGGTTAGATCATTTATTGCACAATGGCGAGATAAACGACCAGAGATAAAACGGTAACTCAACCCATGAGTACCTGATTCATCCACAAATGCACCACATTTACAAAAGTGTTGAACAGACAGTGGTGCATCAAGTCGAAATTCTATGGCAAGTCTGAAAGAGTCGTCATACAATAGCCAAGTGATGGTACAAGATTTAACCAAGCTCTAGATTCTTTCGTAGTAACTGCGAGAAGAAGCTATCTTTAGTATAATACTACTTGCATGATCTAGTAATAGTTTATACCATGCCCTCTGGTTTTCCATGTCTTCAATTTATTCAATTTATTTGGCCAGTTCTAGATTCCCAAACAGATTAACCTCGCTCAAAAACACAATTAGATATTGGCTTTAGCTATCAGATTCGAAACACTGCAAAATGAGGACAGACATGATGGCAAAGCAAGTGAAGTGGCTGAACGAATCCCTAATCGTCCTCTAGAAATATGTGTAAAAAGTGACATACTCCACAAATATGAATATATAAGTGAATGATTATTGCTTTATATATAAAACAATAGATTATTAAGGAACTTGCTTTCTCTTTCTCGCGAAGTGGGAAGCCATTATTTGAGTATCAGACACCTGTATCAAGGTTTCTTATTTTCTCTCTACTAGTTATCTCAGGGAGGTTTTTGCAGGATTTCGACATTTACTCCAAAGAGATAAGCTGCATAAGCGTCATGTTCCACACTTTTCTGTTTACATTATAGATTTGGTGAATCCCGAAAACACTGATGCTTATTTTTCATAGTTCATTGACCAAGTTTTAGTACCGAAACATAATAGACTCTCTTCACTTGATCACACTTGATCACAGTTACAACCTGCTTTCCCAACTAATTCAAATATAAAAGCTTGTAAAAGACATACGAACATCTGAAGTTAAGAGTTAGCAAAATTCAAACTATTTTGTATAAATGACACTTCCCGAAAATTACACCTCTCATACGTTCAGAATTCATTTCTATATTTCAATATTTTAACTGTTTGAAGTAATCAGTTTAGCGATAAACTGAAAACGAATAATTTAGTTTTCATTAAAACAATAATTTTTCCGTTGATCGTTATTTGCAGTGCAGTGTAAAAACGACTCTGAATATCATTGCCGCCGGAGTGGACAATGTATTCCCTTGTCGAAACGTTGTGATGGAGTGGCCGACTGTTCAAAAAACGAGGACGAGTGGGATTGTGGTGAGTACAATCAAATAGTATTTTAGTGTGATTGATACGTAATCTCAGTCAATTTTATGTCATTACTGAGAGCCTCATTTTAGCACAGTGAAATGACTGAAAATATAATTATTCTTAGTGGATACACAAAATGCTTACAGTTATCAATTTACATGAATCAATTTTTTACAAAATGAGTGGGAATACTCTACCCTCTATCCGCTTCATTGGTTTAAGCGGGAGATGAACGTTTGGCGGGAATTGGTCGTTTTTCGCTTGATTAGAGGTTTCCATATGTTACGTACGTCTACGCTAGCTTGACTGAATACGTTGTTGGACAACATATACGCGGCTTTTTTGAATTTTCTCCTTAACCAGTATTCCTCTTTGTGGATGATTTCAGCCTGAGCCCACTTGATGTTATGTTGATGAGTCCAAACATGCTCTGCTTTTCTGAATTTGCTGGTTTCTCCTCGCTGTGTGTGGTTCTTCTGCTCAGCAATGCGAACTTTCAATGGCCTCTTAGTTTCACCGATGTATGATTCTCCGCACTCGCAAGGTATCCGGTAAATGCAATTCTTGGAAACGCAGTCCGCGTTTGGTGACCTGGTTTTTGTGAGGCTGCTGCGGATAGTGTTCCCAGATCTGAAGCAGTTCCTGATGTTATACTTGGACCCAATCCTTCTTATTCTTTCCGATAATCCTCTGATGTAGGGAAGTACAACTACTGGTTGTGGCGGCTTCTCTTCCTTGTGGAACTCTTGATGTCTTCTAGCTAAAGCCTGTTCTACCATCATTTTGGAGTAACCATTCCTTTGAAGGTCATTTTTGATGATGCCTAGTTCCTTTTCTAGACCTTCCTTTGTATTACAGAGTCCGAAAGCACGGTCTAGTAGAGTCTTGATGATTCCTCTCTTACTCGATTGCTGGTGGTTGGATATTTGGTTCAGATACTGTCCTGTGTGAGTGGGTTTTCGATATTCAGATGTTTCCCATTTAGTGTCGGTCCTCTTCACCAATACGTCTGAGAAAGGCAATTCGTTGTGAACTCCCTTCTCCATTGTGAAAGTAATGGAAGGACTTACGTTGTTGATGTGCTTCAGTGAAGTGTCTAGTTCTGCATTCCCATGGTTCCATATTATGAAGGTGTCGTCTACGTATCTCAACCAGACTCGGGGCTTCTTGTGGGCTTCTTCAATGGCCACAGTTTCAAACCACTACACCGGCTATAACCGGTGAAAGTGGTGATCCCATTGGCAGTCCCTCGTATTGCGTAAAGAATTCGTTCTTCAGTTGTAAGTAGCAGTTTCGTACACAGCATTCTAGTAATTCCATGATCACTTGTATCGAAAAGTTTTATATGATTTGAAGTGCTTCTTCGACAGGAACGTTGGTGTAGAGGATTTCCACGTCGAAACTGATCAGTTGGTCCTGCTCTTTGACTTCGATTTCCCCTAGTAGTTCAATGAAATGCCTTGAATTTTTCACAAAAGATGATGATTTACCTAGCAGTGGTTCAATTGCAGTAGTGGTTGCTTGTATGTTATTTTTTTGTAATTTCAATTTTTCGTTCAATAAAATTATCATTTTCGGTTAATCTTTTTAATTTTTTTTCAGGGATTTCAAATCAATTTATATTATCAGTCCGAGCTGATGAAATACATTCTTCACTGAAGTTATTCCTGCTGTCAAACTGTAGCAATAAATAAATAGATCGATTTATTTGATTGCTTCACAATAAATTTACAGCATACACAGAAAATAGTCATATAGAGACATGTAATATATAAACCGATAAAAAACTTTTCATTTCTTTCAGATTTAAAAAGACATTACAATATAACATAACATACACATTAAAATATGCTGTGAAAAGTGACATACTCGACAAATATGAATGTATAAGTGAATGATTATTGCTTTATATATCAATCAATGGATTATCAATTGTTGAAAAATTCATCAATGGGTCATTGCAGCAACTACTTCTCTAGCTAATACCACTAAGGGTGTTGGATTATATACAGGTGTCAGTGCAGAATTCTTCACTGAAGTTATTCCTGCACATGCTGTTGGCGATACAACTGCCTTAATCGATTTCCACTGATTGGAATATACTTGCAGACTGGTTTCGGGCTGTTTGGCCACTCGTCAGTGCAAAATAGTGTCTTTTATCAAGTTGATGAATGAATTTTTAGATAATTTGTAAAGTTTTCTTCCTTCTACGAGGAATTGGGAAAATTTTGGATATGCGGTTGGTTAGCTCGTTCACAGGCAGATGGGGCATTGACAAACATGTTGTTTGTCGTTCGCTTCTGCCTAGTTCGAGGAATGATACTCTGAAAGGAATTCGATTTTCAATTATTGGTAATCATCGACTTTATGCTGATGACAGACACTACCTTGCATTGACGAGTGGCCAAACAGCCCGAAACCTGTCTGCAAGTGTGTTTCAATTATTGAAATTCGAATTCGGCAGTTGTATCGCCAAAAGCATATGCAGGAATATAACTTCAGTTAAAAATCCTGCACTGACACTTGTCGGATATAATCCAACGCCCTTCGTGGTATTAGCCTGGGAATAGTTGATTTCTGATAGATGTCAGTCCAATAATTTGAGACTCTAATTTGAAACTGGTTTAAACGAATCGATCTTTCAGATAATTTGATGAATAAATATCATTGAATTATAAAAAATGGTGGAATCTGTTGTAATAAATATCATTAAATATATAGTTTTTGTTACAAGTGCATACTCCTATATGCACATAGACTAATACTGAATTAAATTAAACAAATACTGTGAAAATGAATAACAAGTTTACCTTTTATGGGAATGCGTGCTTCAACCTACCTTAATAGTCACTTATCCTTCATTGACACATATCCTGCAATTCAAGGCCAAAAATAAATTTTATTTTGTTATAATTATTCCATTAGAAAATTCTCAACCTAAAAATATTCCACTCATCGTCGCACAAAAGCATATGAATGAAAAATTCATGAATATGTTTCTATATAAGTATATTCAATCAATCAATCAATATATGCTTTATTGTCGGAAGATTAGTATCTTAATGACAAAGTCTTGTAAAGAAATCCAATGAATGTCATGAAATATAAAGAACACAAACATAGCAATTTCACAAATAAAACATTAAGACGACAGATGAGTTTAGGTGAACATTAAAAAATCAAGTAGAATTCACAGGTTATCATGGTAGAATTCATGGATCGAATAGTAAATTTTTTGATTTAAAGATCTTCAAATGTACTTCGGAACTTTTTGATATCCGTGCTATTTTTTAGAATGGTATGAAGGTGATTATATATTTTAATACTTTCATGAATCAGATAATGCTGAGCCAAGGTGAATTTTGGAATGTGTAGGTAAAGCATATGGTTCTGTCTGGTGTTGTGACAATTTGTTCCGTGAATGTACATGCTAGTTTTATTTTTATGAATAAAGCATACTGTTTCCATTATGAAAACATATAAAAAACATTATGAAAATATTTATCATTTGAAAAATTTCTATCTTTGTCGTTTCTGATCATTCGTATTTATGTTATCTGGCAACATTACTTGGTATTAGGCTGCTATCGCGGGGAATCCCCGGTCAGAAAAATCCAGAGTTTCATTTAATGGAAATCCAATCGAAGTATCACATGAAGACGGAGTCTCGCTTCATGTTACTATATTATAATTTCTAAAAGTATTTGATGTGAGAATGAATAATAGTGTACCATAGTTATAAAACGATAACTCGAGTTCAATAAAAAGATTTGCGAATTGTGTTCTAAAGAAAAATGACAGTACCTGTGTTTATTTTAATTATCAAGAATAAGGTAAGAAGTTATTATTATTCTCACTCTCATATTTTTCTGTAAATAATAATAATAATATCCTATTTATTATCTTCTAATACATTTAAAGCAAATTAATCAGGAACAATTCATTTATTATATGAAGATAAAAGGCGAAGTTCAATTTACATGATGACAAGTCATCATTCAATTGCTCTTCCACTCAACCTCAATTACATTACATGACTAAAAATTATGAGAAAAATAGAAATGAGTTAGTTTGTACCGAATGAATGTAAGTATAATATTAATACAAGACAAAAAACAATATTTTTGTACCATTTGCAAAAACCAAATTAGTTTTCGAATCACCCGATCAGATGGCTCCACGTGCCTATAATTTGATGCCAGATATAATCTTCAAATCTTCAAAATAAAACCCAAGGCTGTTCTTGTTAATAACTGTTATTATCGTTTTGAAGAATTTATGTGTATGAGTTGGTTCTTTTCATCAATTTTAGGAACTTCTAGTCAAAAAGAAAAATAAAGATTTATTATTAAGTGTTCAATAACCAAAACAATCATCTCAACAGAGTGTTCTGGATGAAGTCTTCATTATTATCATCACTGTCACTATCATTGTTTTCATTATTATTTTTATTATCATTGTTGTCATTCAAAATGACCAAACGACTCCATACCTGAATACCTCCATTTTCACAGTAACTCTTCGACTCATACTATACAAATGGTAGCTATAATAACTCCCCGCACGACGACATAATCACCTCGTAAATCTCCGCCGTTATCACTTCAACTAGGAGTTATATCTCGGAACAATCTTCATCTCCTCATCTTCTTGTTTCAGCTGCCCTTACCGATGGCAAAACATTAATTCTCGACAGTGATTTACGTCCCGAGTTGGCCATGAGTGGTATAATCACAATCAATCGGTTTGGCGTATGGAAACCCTTATGCAACGCCAACTCGTCACACAGTGATGCGGCTGTCGCCACGAACGTGTGCAATTTTTTGGGATTAGAGGAGTACCTTGGTTATGGCGGCATTGAAGTTGAAGATGGTCCACTAAGTGTAAGGTAAGGTAGATTTCAGGATTTCAGTTATTTTTCATAAAAATTTCTCACATACTTAGATCAGGTTAGGTCAAAAGTGAGTGGGTTTATTCAGCCTTCCACCGCAACCCACAAGAGTCTATTGTGGCTCACAACTATTCACACTAAACCAAATAAACCCAGCTTCTTAACGAAACCGATCAGTTTGTATGGTGAGTAGTCTTTCAGGTCAGATGGTAAGAGTACGGCTCTGCTAAACTCTAAAAACCTGATTCAGCCCCCAGCGGGGCAGGCCCAAAGTATGTGCTCTGCTGTTTCATCATTTTCCAAATAGAGGCGACACACACTGTGTTTCGACAGTCAGAGTCGTCTCTACATATGATGATTCAAATGACAGTGACCTGTGAGAAGGCCTGCTAGACGTCGTAGTCCAACAACTGTTTGGTATCAAGCTTATTGTATACGTTTAAAAATGTCCGTATAGGACGAAACTGCAGTAACGTTAGTTACAAATAAAAGTGGTAAAAAACATAGAAAGTTTCATTTCTCTTGTCTTCATTATGATTTCCTACCACTTAGTAACGGCTACATCCATCAATTTATATCTTGATTGTTTGTGGTGTCAGTAAGTACCCAAACGTGAGAATTATCGTCTTCAAATAAATCCACAGGCAAAACAACATCTTTATACTTTAGGTCATGTTACTTTCCAGCTATTAAAAATTTTTGACAATTTTTTAAGGTATCCTCAGAAAATAATATTGAATTTTCATCAGATTTATCACAAAAAACACATTTCAATGAAGTAGCCATTATATCTCTTACTCCAATAATTTTTGAATGTTTATGCCAGTAGCTCGCGTTTCAACGATACAGACGCTGCACGATCATAGACTAAATAGAGAACACGCTGAACACGTTTGGAGCATTCATGCCTATGAATAACGTATCATGGCGTCTGGGGGGATGATTAGCCCTTCAGATTGGTCTGGCCACATACAAACGGTCTCAAAATAGTACCTTAGATAATATATATAATAATTAGGTTTGCTACTATAACGCAATTTACCTAATTTTTTCATATCCTTCAAGACGTCTGGCAGAAGTGATGGCCCACGGAAAGTGTCTGGCAGTATTGAATTTTAATTTCAAATAACAGTCTTATAAGATATCTGAATAGTAGCGTTTCCATTTTAACGTAGGTAAGTAAGGTTTGTACTACGCACTACCTGAGAAGTGGCTCCGCTTTCAAGCTAATGGTTACGCATACCTCTTAACAAGACATTGTACTAATAATCCTGAAAATTTCAGCTCTGCTCAAATGACGTAGGTCTGGGGGCTCTGGGATCTTACTCTACAGGAGTCACCCGCTGATTACTATCACAAACTGCAGGTTCCAATTTCAATCAATTTATTTTCCTTCTCCAGAATGAAGAACTTCAAACAGCCGGATAGGGTCGTCCCAAGCAGCGGAGCCATCAAGTGCCACGGGATATACGTCAAGTGTTCGAACGTCTCATTAGACAAAGCGATACACAGCGTGCGTCTCGATAACGTTACGGTCGACGTCGAGCTGTACACGTCGCCATGGAATGCGGTGATTTATGCAGATGGTTTATATAGATGTATGGGGACCATTCTCAATCGACGGTGGATTGTCACGTCTGTCAACTGTTCTACGGAAATAGCTAAGTGAGTCATTTTCGAGTGTTTATTACCGGCCGTCCACGTCTTATTTATAGTCTGGTTCACGAGAGCTATTTTATCGAAAACCTAACCTCCAAGACAGAAACTGTGACCAAAGTCATTCGAATCGAATTGGAGTCTGAAATTATACAGTGCATTCCATTTAAAACGAGCCACACGAGTATACAGGGGAACATATTCTGACATTCACATTTAATCTAACGTTCCCTATCGCACCACCAGAGCATGTCAGTATTTTATTTTTAATTGGATCAATTGTTTTGCATTATCAGATTCTCCATGATGAACATATTTCAACAAAGTAGAATACATTATGGTCTGAAGCTCATAGTTTGTAAGATATTCGATATTCGCTTCATTTTGTATTTGTCTCATTCTACAATAACGATTACCTACCAGGTGAAGTTACAATTGTTATTTCTGTTTTTGTGAACTTTTGAGAAGCAATGGTTTATGCGTCTCGAGAACGGATTGAAATAGTTAGTTTGTACTACTAGAATGGAAATAGTTCTAGAGCTGTTGTCCGTATGTTTAATGATAACCATCCAGGAAGAAATGTACGATACAAATATGTTTCGGAATTATTAAACAAATTTATAGAAACTGAATCTGTTAACAATAAAAAGCATAACCGTTCAGGAGTTGTCAACAATGAAGCTATTTCTACCGCAGACCCAGAATATTCTTTTATAATGTATGTTCTATCTGAACTCCGTGACTGATATTATTAAAAAGTATTCGTTCGTATATCTCTAATGAATATATTCAAGAACTACGCGATCGTGATCGAAAATCAATTCACCCTAGAAAGTTATATTATCAGTGAGTAGCATGGGCTGTAATTTGTCAAAAAAATAGTCATTTGGAAATTGCGCTAGGGGAGTCGTTAGTAAAACATTAGTACAAAATCCCCAAAAAAAGAGGGTTTTCTATTCAAAATACGACATTTGTTTGAAGGTGGTTAACAATGTTTCATTTCTTGTTAGTAATTTTTATTTTCATCTCGCGTTAACAGTTCAATTTTTTTATTGTTGCTTGTATTTCATTTCATTGTAATTACAGTTTATTTTGCTTAATATAATTGTTATTTTTTTCAGCTAATCTTTTTAATTTTTTATAGATGCTTTCAGGGATTTCAAATCAATTTATATCATAGTAGACAATGAAAGTCCGAACTAATGAAATAAAATACGATAGTTGTTAACAAAAGTGTGTTAAATATTTCAAATAAATGAAACAGTATCAATTACTTATTTTTCTTTTCAGATTCAATATCAATGTACACTAAGAACACCCTGTATAATTTATTACTTTCCAGCATGAATGACAACTGTGTTCAAGAATTCTTTAACATAAAAAAAAATCTGGGAATTTTTCAGTTTACGAAGACATTATGTGTCTGTTCTTTTGGGGAAAGGAAAAGCACAACTTCAAGTTCAGGGCCCCCACGAACAAACCTTGAGAGTGGTCGGAGTCGAAAAATTTCCTGATAACGATATCATAATCCTGCGAACAGAGAAAGATATTACTTTTAACCGCTACGTGAAAAGTGTATTTCTTAATCTCAGGTGAGTTATCCACGATAATTAAGTTATATCACTGTTAAGATTGCTTTGATAGGATTGTTTCTTAATTGGATACAATAGTATAGTTGTTCGTTGTACACTGCAATGCTTTCAATAGATTACAACTGTTCATTTGACAAGAAGGATCACTATTATAGTGAAAGGAAGTTCTTCGTAGTAGGAAGTAAAGAAATGATAAAATTGTTTTAAATAAACCCGCACAAAATGGTGATGAATCAAAATATTCGTAACAGACTATGAATAAAGTGAAAATAAAAATTGCTGAAAATGGAATTTTATCAAGCCCCGACTTTCAACTCTAAATGTTTTCAAATTTTAAGTTTGAATCCAAATTTCTTCTTTAGTTTCCCTTGTATTTTATATGAGAAATATCTAACGAATTATACAAGTCTGCAACAAAAAAGCTTACTGGATGTTTTCAACTGATTTCTATGTGTTCTGAAAACAAAAAAAAACCTCAAAAAATTCCAGAACGTCAGGTTATTTTGCAAAACGCAAAAATATATAGGTAATAATAAAAAAGAGTTTTTTGGGCTAACTTGAATTCATGAATAAATAGGTACAATTTTATTTTTATTACAGTCTTTAAATATATACAGGCCATAACTATTACTTTCTGTGCCCTCTGCCCTACTTTGGCCAAAAGGACGAGTTGGTTTATTGTACCAGTATTGAATGTTTGATGTATACCTTCAAGATCTAATATAACCCAGCACAGTGGCGTATTTTCATAAATGCTTCGAAAAGAAGTCTTGAAGCAGTTCTGATTCACAATAACGATTTCTATGCCTCCATTCCTGTCAGTCATTCCATACACCTTAAGGAAACCTACAAGAATCTGAAATTGATAAGTTGAGAAACTTGTGCGATCTAAGGACTAACGAGGTCTTACCTATTGACGTGTGAATCCTTGCAATACTCAATATCAAAGTTTCCAGGCCTCTCAGGGGCAAAGTTGAAGGAAGGTGTTTTCGTTGGATCAGATATCAGACGGCTTATGGCTGATACACAATTCATCACAATCAAAACGGATCCTCAAAGAGAAGGGTGAATTGCTTTTAAAGAGGTCATAGAAACATTTTTAGGTAATAAAGAAGACCCTAACTACAAACAAGTAGTCAAAAGAATGTTAAAAGCATTTCAAGCCTTAGGTTGCCTAATGAAGTTAAAAATACATTTTCTTCATTACCACCTCAACTTCTTTCCAGAAAATTTAGTTGTAAGTGGAAAGCAATGTGAACAAGTTCACCAACATATTCAGGAGATGACTGACTACTGTTGTATGCTTCACAGAGACCTTCCAGATGCTTTCTACAATCGAAAATGTACCAAAAAGAGTATCACTAGGAAAAGGAATGTGTTTGGTGCTCATTACTACTTCAGATTAAAAAAAAATTAGTGTTGTCACGCAATCTTTATATACTAATATAAATGTGAAAGTTTGTAAGGCTGCATGTGTGCATGTATGTTTGTGGATCTCTCACGCCTAAACGATTGAATAGATTTAGATAAATAAAGATACTTAAGATAGATAAATACAGCTTATACATCACAGTAACATATAGCCTACAATTCACAAAGATTTTGTGTAATTTTGGTCATAATTTAACGATAAGTATTGAGTAAGTCGTAAAAATTCTTGCTAACTGAGCTATCTTTTCGTGCACTGCCTATACCGTTGGAGATAATGTACCGTAAGATTGTTTATTTCAAATAGTTCTAAATAAAAGTCAGCGATAGCACATATCTACCTCTTACGTGGTAGCCACTATATACAAAATACTGAGCCATAAATAAAATTCAATTGGATACTTTTTTTACAATGCACGTTATAGAATATCTGTCGAATTCATATAAAAATGTATACAATTCTCGTTTTAAGTATTCAATATAGACAATATTTGTCTTTCACACTAAGTAATTTGGACGAATCGTTCAAAATTTATCACGATATGATTGAATTGACGCAACGCACTAAGCCATTACACGTCGCGTCTACTGTAAGACGACGGTGGGGGATGCGCAAGGGTAGAGGAGCGGTCTAAGCAACGAAGCGTCATCGCCGAGAATGCCACCCAAACGCTGGCAGCTGTGTGAGGGCAGACGTCATTGACCGTTGTGTTAGTTTTGCAAATTTCTTTATAGGTAACATAATTCTCGAAGCTATTCATTACTTGTGCACTTGGCATATTTTTTTTAGTTCTGTATTTTTAAAGTAAAAATATGAATTACTAGCTGTTGCCCGCTCTCATATTAACTTACAGCCGAAGCTACTGAACCTAGAATCTATGCAGGTAGGTTATTTGTATTGCGTAAATAAGCATCAAGAAAGGGAATCAGGAATTTCCATCTCCAAGGGGGGAAAATAGGGGTTTAAAGATTGTATTGAATGTCGTCTGTTTTGAAGTTGGTACCCTGAAGTTTTGGGTTAACAAAAAATAATGTAACTATTTGTTTGAAATGATCTGTCACGAAATTGAATTCGACAAACCAAATTCTTCGCGGGCGAAGCCGCGGGCAACAACTGGTTATAAATATAAAATTTTTGTTAACCAGCACGATCAATTTTTTCTTAAAAAAAACAATTGTTTTCTTGCCGACGTTTTGAATTCAATTGAATGCATTTTCTTTTTTGAGAAAAAATTGATCCTGTTACCCAACCAACATTTTTTCAGATAAAATTTTTTGTTCCATAGCGATAACTTGTTTGCCATATTTACCTACAATTTCAGAAAACGTGACATTCTATGACAAAATGAAAGTCATTTTCGAATTCAGCACAGCAAAAACACAAGAATTACGCAAAAAAAACAAAACAACTTTCAATTATTAATTTTGCAGACATTTTTTGTCTACTTATATTTTCATGAATGAAAAAATTTACATATCATGCATAACCAAAAAATCACATTCACTATTCAACCAGCCGTTATTTTTTGGGAAAGTTGAAATAAAAGTTGGTTATCAAAACGTGAACCTAACTTCCTATTCCATTTAAAATAATGTATTTTACTTCTTTGCATAAATGACTATTGTCTGATTTTGATTTTTCGCAGAAGAGACAGACGACGAAAAGAAGAATGCATTGCTGTAGGGCTTCATGAAAGAAAAGCAAGATTCATAAAACTTCAACCAATCCAGAACTGCATCGTTGGATTTAGATGTTTCGAAAGCAAAATTACCGATCAATGTAAGGTATGTCTGATTTCTAATGATACATATAAGTTAGGTTAGGTTAGGTTAGGTTAGGTCCAAAGTGAGTGAGTCTATTCGATCCTACAGGTCAGATGGTAATAGTATGGCTCTGCCGAACTCTAAAAACCGGATTCGGCCTCCAGCGGGACAGGACCAAAGTATGTGCTCTGTTGTTTCATCATTTACCAAACAGAAGCGACACACACTGTCTTCCGACAGTCCCAGTCTCTACATATGATGATTCAAATGACACTGATCTGTGAGAAGGCCTGTTAGACATCGTAGTTCATTCCTACTGTAGTCCTACAACTGTTTGGTATCAAGCTTCGAATAGTGAATAGATGCCTTGGAGTGAGTCTATCCTGGAAGATTCTGCCAGAAGTCCATAAATCTTCTTGCTATCCAGTTGTTTAATCTTAGTTTGGTAAAGCATGAAGCGATGCCAATGACAGGTACTGGTCCGACGAAGCTGCTTGCAGCACCGTACTTTGCAAGGGAGTCAGCATCCCCATTGCCTTCAGGGCCAGTATGGCCAGGAATCCAGACCAGACACAATCTGTTGAGTCTTCCTATTGAGGAGAGTCGTTTTTGGCAATTTAGATATTTCTCGGTAGGAGCCAAGAGCTCCAAACGCTGCTTGCCTGTCCGAGAATATTTTTATTGACTTGTGTATAAGGTTGGATTCTTCCAATCTCTTCGCAAATAATTCGATAGTGTAAATTTCCGCTTGAAAAACAGTTGCATAAGTTCCTAGGCAGGTTGATATCTTTGTCCTGGATCTGCGACTGAAAACACCTGTACCAGAACCGGAAAGTGTTTTTGATCCATCTTTGAACTAACAATTATCTGCTCCTAATTTTAAAATAATACATATAACTTGCTGCTGGATAAACGAGAAACATGTGCAAGATACGACGGTGGTCTGGAAAGTTTTCGACCTCAACCTGAAGATAGCAGCAATCGTAAATGAGAGCTAGTGAATTTCGTTGTTCATCTGTTGAAGATGAAGATAGCAGCAATCGTAAATGAGAGCTAGTGAATTTCGTTGTTCATCTGTTGAAGATGAAGATAGCAGCAATCGTAAATGAGAGCTAGTGAATTTCGTTCGTGTTTTCATCACTTATCAAAGTTTCAGCCATTTTGGACTCGCAGTTTTTATGTAACAAACGTTTGAATGAGATGATGTGGGTGTTTTTTGAATATTTGTTTTTGAAAGGCAATACGCCTATGAATTGGACTCTGTGAATTTTCGGGCAGCTGAATTTAAACGTGGCCGTGAGAGCTTGGGAGATGATGAACGTTCGGGACGTTCAAAAAACTGCAACTACCGCTGGAAACATCGTCAACGTTCACCAATTGGTACTAGACGACCGCCGAATTCAAGTGAGAGAGGTAGCAGAGGTTATTAACATTCAGACATAAGAAAGCTGTCCGCGCATTTGTTGCCGCGATTGCTCACGTTAGGCTAAAAACGTGTTCGGATGCACATTTCCAATGTTATATTGGCGCAGTTTAGGCGCAATAAAACCGAAATTTGACGCCGATTAATTACGGTTGATGAAACTTGGATACATCATTATTCACCCGAAACAAAAATACAGTCCAAACAGTGGATTGCAGAAAAGGACCCGGCTTCAAAAAAAGCAAAAACTGTTTTTTGGCTAGGAAATTCATGGCGACTGTTTTTTGGGATAGTCATGGAGTTATTTCAATCGATTATCTTCAAAAAGAAAACCATTACAGAGGCATACTACACATCATAACTTGACAAAGTGAAAGCGGAAACATTCATATTCGCAGAAAAAAAAAATCCTGTTTCACCAAGACAACACACCGTCTTACACCTCAGCGTTTGCCATGGCGAAAATCCACGAATTACGGTTTGAAGTGCTTGACCATTCGCCTATCTCACCAGATCCAGCCCCAAGCGACGTTTTTCCCTTATTCGAAACTTGCTCTCGGGGGGCAGAGATTCTCGTCAAATGAAGAGGCAATCACCTACGTGAACAATTATTTTGCAGAAAAAACGTCGAGTACTATTTGGACGGGTTCCAGAGATGGGACCATCGCTGTGAGAAATGTGTAGAGTTAAAAGGAGACTATGTAAAAAATGAAAAAAAACTGAAAGAATGTCTTGTATCTTTGTTAGAACGGAAAACTTTCAGACCACCCTCGTACAACCTCTGTGAGGTATCATGCATCAGTGCATACGCGTGGCATTGGCCTGGGAAGAAGTTGATTTTTGGCAGGCATTTACCAGAGCCTACTGTATAGGTATAGTTCAAGTAAACGATATAGTGCAACCTACTTTCCAACAGCTCCCCTTTAAAAGTATAGTCAGGGAGCTAACTAATTTCGTTAAAAGTAGGGATTCAACTTACTCACTTACTCACATATATATACAATCGATCGCTTCAAAAACACTTCACCAACTTTCTTGGAAAGCTTCTGATAATTCCTCTTCCACATTCTCTGTTTCACTATCACTGTCGTCATTTAAATCAATAATTTATTTATTTTTACCATCAATATGGAAGTGTCCAATCTCCATATAGTATTTTTAACTAAAATTACTTTTATAAGTCCTTTTCCGCCAGTCTTCTTCGGTATTATTAGATACTTCTTCTTTAATTAGCTCTATTACCTTCTCATCAAATTTTGGAAAATTATTATTACGCCTGAGGCTTTGTTTCAATTTTCCCCAAATCAACTCGATGGGACTGAAAACACAAAAATGAGGGGAGAAATCTTAGTATGGTGTGTCCATACTTTTCAGCAATACCCTCAAGGGCATACACTTTTTCAATTGTTTTTGTCTGTGAAACTCCAAGTAGTTGATTTTTGGTGTAGTAATCTTCAAAATACAACGTGTTATCCATTAAAAACTTTGTATTTCAACTTTCCTCGAATTTTTATTCGGTACTTTGATGAGCTGTCGCCGTATCAAGAACTATTACACTATTCGCATCCAAATTTGGGATCAATGTGTTTTCAAACCATTGCTCGAAAATATTAGCTTCCATTTTCTTATGATAGTCAACATTGTAGTCCTCAAGTTTTTTCATCATAATTTCAGAGAATTCGGAACCCATCCTTTACTTCCTCCGCAATGCACAATGATTAATCGCGATCCTTTGGCATGTTAGGTGAACACATTCTCGTACCATTAGTCCACCTTTTCCCAAATGTGTCGTGAATGTCATACCAAGATTCGTCCAAATAGAAAATTGACTGTTCTTGTCTATATTTAGTTATTTGTTATATTTGCCATTTGCTACGCAGTTTCCCTATTCTTCTGCTCTCCATAACTGCTTGAAGTTTGTTCATTATTTTGAATCTAAATACTAGTTTCTCTATCCAGTTCTGAAGAGTTTTGTAACAGCAGCTCACGTTATGGCCGAAAGTATTCGAATTCTTTCTTATGACTTCAGTTGTAGGAATCTCACTGCTTTTGTATATTCTTTTTTTTTCGATGATTTTATTAGACGAACATCTAAAGGTTTTGGTAATCCTGTATCACATCGCGTCTTGAGTTCATAAGGTTTGTTTTCGACTATTTTAGGTACAGTTGAGAAAGGAATTTCTGTCAAATCCGATGTTGCTTGTAATAGTTCGTTTCCCTCGAAACGAAACTTGAGATGTAGATTCGTATATACAATGAAACATACTCCCTGTGTTTCAATATTTAAATGCATCCGAATCTTTTTTACTGGTATTTCTTTTTCGCATTGCTCACCATCGCTATTGGAATCACTACACTGGGAAAAGTCTGCGTTGTTATCACACTCGTTATTACTATTAGTACTTGCCTAAGGACGCCACATTTCAAACAAAATAACAAAAATTTCAAGTAATTATAACTGCACCAATATCGAATTTCAACACTCAAATCGCGATCAGTTCCTAAACTGAACACTTCGGCGATAACCATCCCCGCATTCCCGATTTCTATTCTTCACCGTAACATGACTTCAAATTTAATTTTATGACTCTTCAGCCAATCATAAAACTCGGTTAGAAAAAATTATCCAATACGAACCGCCACGTCTATAGTCCACGTGGCCTAGTTTGCTGCCGGTTCATTTCTATGTATTGGTTTTTTGGCCTTTGAGAGTGCCGCCGACTTTGAAAGTGCACAATATCGTTCACTTCGACTTTACCTTGGGAGGGATGAATGTTTCGGGATTTTATTTCGAAATATTTATTTTCTTACAAACATGTAACTCAGCAATGATCTATTTTGAGTTTCAGCTCATCAGCAGTTTACCTGGTGAAATATTCAACTCGCATGCTCAATTTGAGGAATATAATGTTCTTAACTATTCTTCATGCTGCGATGAGAAATGAATAGATGTTGATTTTTTTTTTATTTTTATTTTATTTTTATTACATTTCTCAATGATATGTAAGACTCCATATATTTCCACTTAGTTTTCCTTCAGAGTCCTCATCCATGGAGTGGAACTATAGTTTGTGATTCCGGCAATGGGTGGTACCCAGCAGCGGTTTATTTCGAAAAAAACGGATTTTGTGGACTGGCTGCTGTCACAATATTCACAAGTATACCTTATTACAAGAACAAACTTTTGGAAGCCATGGGTAAGCTTATATGTATATTATAGTTTCGTGTCATACTTTCTTCAAACAGGTGTTTCTGATATTTCTTCCCTCACCCTCAAAGGATGGCAACGACAACTTTGAAAATTTAAAAAAAAAAGTACCTTTTGAACTTCTGTTGGTTATTCTCAGCCTACAGAAACAAAATCTGCAGAATTAGAAAGGTTACATATTTTGGTTTTACACCGATACGTGATTGCTTAAATTCAAATCACAGATGTTCAGTTACTTGTACTATAAAAAAAACAGATACTAATCTAAACATTTTGGAGATCTCCGTCTTCAAAATAAAAAAAAAACCTATGATACTAGTAGTTTCTTTTTTCCTTCGTTTCAGTTTCGAGCGTTCTTGATAGATGTCAAAGGAGTTTTCAAATATATTGATAGCCAAAAAAGGTCAATGATAAATTTTCCAGAAAAAATGTTTTCCGTTCAATATCCCATCGATAGATGTTCATATTTTTATACAACAAGAAAAGGTAGAAATTCAATTGAGAAATAAGAGAGGATTTTATCAAAATGTACTGAAATAAGAGCTGGTATATCAATATCGTATATATAATTGCATGTCGCATCTTCAGTTCTTCACGAATAAAAAATATAGAAAGAGAAAGAATCGAAGTATGTTTTCGATGAACCGTTCTCCAATATAGCAATTTACGGTAACTTATATAGAGAACAGATTTCGTGATCTTTGATAAGTTTAAAAATCTGTTTTTCCGTTAACCAGCTGTCGCACCCCTACGAACCACAACCCTCAGAAGTCGAAACTTGTGCGAGCTAAGGACGATAGCAAATAAAAATCGATCGTTTAGTCTCGGGCTTGAACCAACAACCAACACGAGATATCGCTTGGGTTGGCTAACGCTTGGGCTGGCCTTCCACCTTCAGAAAATTGATGTTCAACAAAAGAATACTTGCCTTTGATGAATTTCCATATGGAATCAAACAATTTTTCCATACGGAAAAACTAAATTTGCCTTGAAGAATCATTTGTTGTAATAATCTACATCATCATATTTGTTTGATTTTGACTACTTCCAAAATAGCCCTCTAAATTCGATATTTCCAAAACCAAAGGTCGTTTCACACAAACCTGATACACATCGATTTTTAATTTTGATATTCTACATTTCATAACGAAATTTCATTCTACAGGATGATCCATATTAATGTGATGACGTCATTGGTAATTTTTTTAAATGCAACACCCTGTATTTGGTGTCAGTTTTAGATAATCCGTAACGAGTTGATTCCGAAAAGGTATGATACTTCAGAAAATTGATGTTCAACAAAAGAATACTTGCCTTTGATGAATTTCCATATGGAATTAAACAATTTTTCCATACGGAAAAACTAAATTTGCCTTGAAGAATCATTTGTTGTAATAATCTACATCATCATATTTGTTTGATTTTGACTACTTCCAAAATAGCCCTCTGAATTCGATATTTCCAAAACCAAAGGTCGTTTCACAAAAACCTGATACACGTCGATTTTTAATTTTAATATTCTACATTTCACAACAAAATTTCATTCTACAGGATGATCCATATTAATGTGATGACGTCATTGGTAATTTTTTTAAATGCAACAACCTGTATTTGGTGTCAGTTTTAGATAATCCGTAACGAGTTGATTCCGTATGATACTTGAGGTCTAACGGACAGAATTTGAAAGATGTGCGTGCTTAGAAAATTAATTTTATTGATATCTAATAAAAGTAGAAATTAATTAATAATTCTACATTTTTTCCTAATGATTAATTTAACAATGGGAAAGTAATCCAGTAATAAATACCTGACCTAATTTTAAATGTTCAAACTGTAGTCCCTGCTGTATTTGACAGTAACCTAAACGTTGAATAAATTCTTGTATGTTTGTTGTATGGTTTCTTGAGAAATATTGTTTATTTCTGTTCGAATTCTCTCTTTTAATTCTCAAATATTTGCTGGTTTCGTTTCATAAACGACATTCTTCACATAAAGTAATCCAACGGATTTAAGTCGGGCGACCTCACTGGCCATTCAATATGTCCACGTCTGCCAATGCATCGGTTCCTAAACATTTGGTCGAGATACCTTCGAACATCTGCAGCATAATGTGGAGGCGCACCGACCTGTTGAAGCCATAAACTTTCATCAAAACTTCCAGGATTAATTCTACTAGGGAATAAATTAATTAAAGTAGGTACAAGATTTCCTCTTAAAAACTGAAGGTATGTTGGCCCGTCCAAAATACCGTCGAAAAAGTAGGGTCCGATGATTCTGTTTCTTACAATGAAAGCCCATACATTTACCTTTTGCGGGTATTGTGTATGATGCTCACGCATCCAGTGGGGGGTTTCTTTAGCCCTCTACAATTCTGACGGTTGACCCCACCATTTAATGTAAAAGTGGCTTCATCAGAAAAAATTATATTTTTACGAGAAGACGATCTCGGTGACAGTTATCCTTCATGGCTTCACAAAATTCTATTCTTCTATCTGGATCATCCTCGTTTAATTCCTGTAGAAGTGCGATTTTAAAGGGATACCATTTTTTCAATTTCAATATTTTGTGTACATTTGTTTTACTGACATCTAAATCACGACTAACCTTACGAACAGAAGTGTGCAATCTTCTTCAAAAGCAAGTAGAACATCTAGTTTTGTATCATCATTCACAGAAGGACGACCTGATTTGCGTGCATTTTCAACTGTACCAGTTTCTAGAAATTACTTTTCAATCTTACTTACTGCTGACTGCGTTATGCGTCTTTCTGGATATTTTTCATTAAATAAGTTACACGCTTCCATCTGAGTTCGCGATCTGTCTCCATAGCCAATCATCATAAGTATTTCAATTATTTGCTTTGCACTTAAATTCATTACCTAATACTTCAAATTAATTCAAAGCAATACTACAGAAAATTCATGAATTAATACAACTACTGTCCTATTCAACAGTTACTGAACGCAAATCAAAATAATGACATTTCACAATAACAAGAAGAAAATAGCCGCCTAGTTTTTTGAAATCATTAAGAAATATTTGTTAGAACGGTTACTGTCAACTACAGCAAGGACTTCAGTTCGAACAATTAAAATAAAGTAATGTATTTATTACTGGATTACTTTCCCATTGTTAAATTAATCATTAGAAAAAAATATAAAATAACTAATTAATTTCTAATTTTACTAGATATCAATAAAATTTATTTTCTAAGCGCAAATCTTTCAAATTCTGTCCGTTAGATCCCAAGTATCATACCTTTTCGGAATCAGCTCGTTACGGATTATCTTGAAATGATACCAAATACAGGGTGTAGCATTTCAAAAAATGACAGATGACGTCATCACATTAATATGGATCACCATGTATAATGAAATTTTGGTATAAAATGTAGAATATTGTAATTAAAAATCGACGTGTTTCAGGTTTTTGTGAAACTACCTTTGGTTTTGGAAATATCGAATTCATATCATACTTTGCGGAAACTCTGTGTATGAATATTTCTTGTATGCAAGGTCTGTTCAAAAAATAAGGTGAATTTTGATTTTTCTCAAAAAATATTTATTTATTCATCAATTCTTTGGTGCAGAGTTTTTCCCAATCTCGCAGTAGTTCTGATATGCACATTTTGCTATATCCTTGAGTTCTCTCAGCTATTCGCTTTTTATCTCCTCAATCCTCGTAAAACGCTGTCCTTCCATGGGTCTCTTTAATCTTGGATTCAAGAAAAAGTCGCACCGGGCCAAATCTGGTGAATTTGGTGGCTGAGGCATGATTACGGTTTTGTTTTTGGCCAAAAAATTACGAATGAGCAGGTGCATTATCGTACGACCTTGTGGCATACACTCCTGATGCATTTTACCACGGTGAGAAACAGTGAGTGAAACCTTGACATTTGATCGAACTTGGCCTGCTTTTTTTCGTCTTGGCTCTCCTATGCTTTTGATTTGAGACGATTACATTTTGGTTTCGATTTCATAACCATTTACCTATGATTCGTTACTAGTTATGACCCTTTCTAGCAAATCAGTACCGCCACTGACGTCATTCAACTATTCCTTAGCGATGCTCATGCCACAATTATTTTTGGTCAAAATTCAGCAATTTTGGAACGAACTTTGCTGCCCAAAAATTTACGAAAAAAATGCTTGGCATGAGCCATTCGATATGCAGACATCCTCAGCAACTTCTATAATAGTGATTTGACGATTCTCCATAACAATTTTCTTCGCTTTCTGAACATTTTCATCAATTGTAGATATGCTGGGTCGTCCAGGAAGAGCATCGTTATTCACATCTTCTCGACCTTCTGTGAAAAGCGTATACCACTCGTAAATATTTTCCTGACTCAGAGTACAGTACCGTAGATAAATAGATATATAGATAGATATATCTTTATTTGCTCCGGCTACATATAATGTACATGTGTAAGGAATCACACGTTAAAAGGTAAGACCTCGTTAGTCCTTAGCTCGCACAAGTTTCTCAACTTCTGAGAGTTGTCGTTCGAATGGGGGCGACAGCTGATTGACGGAAAAACAGATTTTGAAACAGATTTTTCTAAACAGATATATAAACTCCGAGGAGTGTGGAACATGTCAGTAATAAATAACTGAATAACAAATCAAAGCTTCACATATATAATCAATATTATCACACAATTAGTTTTGAGACAAAAATAATAGAATCAGGCATATATAAATAACATTCATGTAGTTAGTATACTATCATTTAAGAATTCCTGCAAGCTATAATAAGGTTTTCCTATGAGGTAGTTCTTCAAATGGCATTTCATTGTTGAAATTAGATTTCTCAAGGTGGCCCTAAACGATCAATCTGCTTGATCAAACGAGTCAGTCAATCGATTGACGCGCGCTTCAATCAACTGCAATCAGCCCTTCGATCTTTTGATCAAAATATTCTTCTCACCAGAAATGAGACCAGTGCACACTTGTTGTTCTTTCGCTGGTGGTTCATTTCGGTGAGTAAGGTTTCAAACACGGATTTGGCCTTCCACTCCCTCACATTGGTTGCTCTCAAGCGGAAAAAACAATAGAAAAAGAAACGACGGTGGTCAATCAACAGGTTAATGAATTGCCGCCTAGAGTTTTCGGGAAGCTCGCTTTCCGTAGCGAACGCCACGGTCTCTACCTAATGACTGACGCAATGCTTGACAGAAATTGCCCTAGATGGTCAACCCCCTCCTTCAACCGCTTGAGTCATTCAAAATTTCTATCAATCACCATCAAGCCTCGCTTCAAGCGTCAAACAGGTTCCTACACGGTCAATCACGCTTGAGTCAATCGATTGACTCAAGCTTTTGTTCAAAATGATTGACCGTATAGGGCCTCTTTTAGAGTGAGTGGAAATTTATTGTGAATGTTCATAACGCTATATTTGACATTTCTCTGTATGTATGTATAGTTGCATTTCTCATTTCTAAGATCATTCTTTGTTCTGGTGTTGTATACGTAATACTTTACTATCGTTTTTTTATCTTATAGATATACCTGATACATTTTTTTGTAGTCTGAGTATCCTAGAGATGTCAACAGAGTTGCCCCAGAATATAATTCAATGTTTTATTGAATATAAGCATGGTATGCAGAAAGTGCAGCTTCGGTTGAGACATGTTTCGACAGTATTCTCAATGCATAGCAATATTTTGCAATATTTTTTGATAAGTAGTCTATGTGATTTTTCCAGTCCAGTCTCCTATCTTTTAACAGCCCCAAAAATTTTACTACCTGATTGCATATGTTTATATTTTGATTATTATATTCAAAGGTATTCAACTCTGGCAAGGATCTATTTGCGAATTTCGAGTTCAGTCAATATTAAGTAGTAGGTCATTTGCTGTGAAGAAATTGTTTAATACATCTAGCACATTTGTTGTCTTTGTCATGACCAACTGAGAGTTCTTTTCTTTTACGATGACCGATATATTATCAGCATATAATACAATATCTTCATTAACTACATTTGGTATTTCATTTGTGTACAGTATAGGTATATGATAATGGGCCTAGGATGGATTGCTGTGGCACACCTTCTTTATCACAATTGATTCTGATTTAATTATCCCCGAGATGTCATTTTCAATCAAATACTACTGTCAATATTTCAAGTATTTTTGGGTATTAATTCCATCTTGTACATAACATTCGATGCAAATTCTTCGATCCATTTTTTTCAATAACATAAAATCACCTAAAAGGCAAAGCACTTCTAACTTTTATGCCTTTCACCAACAAACTAAATATGCTAAACAGCTCAGTGTGTGAACATATGTACGATCGGAGACGAGTCTACCACTTTCTAATATAATGTAGGTAGCCCGCAAAATTTTAAAATTCACCTCATTTTTTAACAGACCTCGTACATTTCCCATATTGCAGATGTTTGGAAATATTATTAATATTATATTAATATTATATTAAATATATATTATTGACTAAAAAAAAACAATCATGAAACAGTCCAACACACTCAACTGCTGTTTTAAATCACAAAACAGCACCAAAATTTCTATACTTTATTTTCAAATCTTCAGAAATGGAGGCGGTGAAGCCAACAAACGAAATCCGGCAATTTCAAATATGTTCAAATTCTCACCAAAATAGCCACTGATTGTCGCGAGTCTTATCTACCATTTCCTAAATAGAAATGAAAAACAAAAGAAATTGTCCCTATAATCTGACGAAAAACTGCTAGTTTTCATTTTTTTTGTAACTTTCTGGCAGTATGACCATACTATATGCCGCATCATATAATTATACCATTAGTCCTTATAAATCAACCATGAGCATCCTATGATAAAGCATTATTACGTCCACCCCACGCCCTGATCCCTACACCCATTCGTATTATTTACAGCCCTCTTCCATCCCACATACGCATAATGTATGAAGATATACCCTCCGTGTTGAACTGAAAAAAATTTATTGACGTTTCGCATGTCTACGAACGATAAATCAAATTTCAGAACGAACCCCTTTCGAACTGGAAGGTCCACGGTGTGACGGATTCAGATGTGAGCTAGGGGAATGCTTAGAAAGAAACCAAATTTGTGATGGCATACCTGACTGCAGGAGCGGCGAAGACGAGCAGCCTGATTTGTGCTACGAGAAAGAACGGTACTGCCATCGTACGGGTGATTGCGGTAAGTAGTCAGCAATTGATGCAGGAATCTAATTTCGAATTTCCAAGCAGAAAACTGTATTTTCTGTTACTTTTTCTGTATTTTTTTCTGGTACTACTCGATACTAGATGTCGAGAGCAGCAAAACATAATTATTTAAAGAATAAATCTTCTTTCTTTAACAAGCGTTGATTATGTGGCCGTCATTTATCTAATAAGTTTTGTTATTATCTAGTGTTATATAAAATATGTGATGTGATTGGCCGATACTTGATGAAAATCCATAATTTCAACGAACACACTATTGTGAGATGTCCAATAAACAGTTTTACAAAAAACGCAACAGGTGTTTCGCCATACAATACCTTCTTTAGGCATGTCTATACCAACTGAAATATACATATTCAATGCTTTTTATGTACTTTTAAAATTTGAAGTTCCTGAATATTTAGTATCTGAGTTTTACCTAGCCAAGTAATGTTGAAAATGTCTACCTGAGTTTGAGAATGATTTCATTAACATTTACGTAAGAAATTACTTACGAGGGTGGTCTAAAAATTTTCGACGTCAACATGAAGATAGCAGAAATGGCAGCATCGCTGGGAGAAGTTTTTTTTAAGGACAACACACAAGCACTACAGGAAAATCCTTAAGGCGCTCTCAGAGCGGTGCCTGTGCGGAAGTAGCGATTCACATTGGATTTGATTTGCTGAAGATTAAATGCATTTTGAAAAACTTTCTCAGAAAGTTTATTACACATATACACAGTTCTGCAGATGAAAGAGTTCTTAAACAGTGAAGTTCGAGGTGTACTGAGTTGAACCTTAAAACAATGAGCAGATCACTCTCGTATATGCTCTCTCAGTTTGGCCCATATAAAATTTTAAGCAAGAGCCAATATTCAACTTATACAGTGTGTCTCACTTCTCATGGAAACACCCCCGTATCTTCCGTAATATTCGAGGTAGAACGATGAAACTCTCAGGACTGATGGAAATGCTCAAAATGCACCTACCACCTGAATGGGGTTGGCAAAAGTGATATACACTGTCCGCCACTCGCGATGGAACACTCCATTTTCACGGTAAAACATATTAGGGGGCAAAATAGGCTCGAAATTCCTTCAGATTCGTGATCAGGACTACCAACTCACTACGAATACACTTTTTTCCTAAAAAAATTTCAGTCCTGAAAAATCCGAATTTGTCTCACTTCTTATGGAAACACCCCCGTATCTTCCGTAATATTCGAGGTGGAACGATGAAACTCTCAGGACTGATGGAAATGCTCAAAATGCACCTACCACCTGAATGAGGTTGGCAAAAGTGATATACACTGTCCGCCACTCGCGATGGAACACCCCATTTTTAGGTAAAACATATTACGGCGCAAAATAGTTCGCTTCCAATACCTGAACCCCTTCATTCTATCTGGAGAGTACTCTCAGGTATGAAAGATACAGATGCTGTGAGATGCTATCATCCATTTTGAGCCTATCTGAGGAAAATGTCACAGTACCACATTCTCAGATTATCGAGATAGTGTGAAGCAGTGTATGAAAAATTATCGATGACGGCATCTATTATAACTGAAGAAGATTATTCGTAAAACTAATTCTGGTTGCTGAACATCCAAATTCTATCCCAACCAGAAGTGAGAACTATAGATTGATGAGCAAAAACTGCAAAAAATGGAAAAAATCTATATTCAAAAGTTCATATCTCGAAAACTGTACAATTCTGAGCTTTGGCTGTGGACACTTTTAATCAGCACATCAAGAACTACAACATATCAAAATTGAGGCAAAATTCAAGGCAAGCCATTTCTCATAAGAAATGTGCGGGGTCCTTTATCAAAATATTGAGGAAACATTTTACCATCCGAAACAAAATTAATCTTCATACTCATTGCAACACCGAAACAACTGTTAATTTTTAAAGAAAAAATCGCATTCGGTGAACAGGTAGAATTTAGATTATTTTACCTACTTGCTGAATTGTTGTCTGAAATCATTTGAAGGG